GCGGACGAAAGCTGGCCGGCTCCGACAGCTGGAGCCAGAGCCTCGAGCGAGCCGCCTCTCTTAGCTGCAAGGCTGAAGCCATCTCGCGCGAGAAGGGGAGGACAGGCAGTGGCAGCAAGGATTGTCGGGCCGTGTCAGTCGTGTTTCAAACCACGCTCTTTGTGACGATCAGTGTGAATGGACGGTATTGTAAAGGAGGTATCCACCGTCCCGAACGAGAACGGCCAAGGGTAGACTGGTTCGTTATGGGAGTGCGGCCATTCACCAGGAGCCCATTGTAAGTCAGATTTGAACGGCGAAGCAGTCGGGCGCTGTGCCTTCCATCAGGGTTCAGACCTAAGTAGCGCAATCCTAGCACAATCCTCCTCCTCCTCGTCCTCCTCCTCCTCCCCTCCTCCTCCTGCGACCTCTCCGAAGCGAGTCGTGATGCCGACGCGCCACATGCCACTTACGCCACCACACCCGCCAAAAGGGGGCGGGCGTAGGTGGCGCCTCCGACTCGGCCAACGCGCCGAGCAACGAACGAACGCGATGAGCGGTGCCGTGGGGTCCCCGAGGGGGGAGGGCCCACGGACAGAGACCGCCAGGCGGGTGGCCCCAGTCTGGTAGCTCCAGCTTCGAGGAGGCGGGCGAGCCAGGACGGGGCCAGAAATCAGCACTCACCTGCACGAGGACAGCCGGCCGTGCGGAACGGCTGAACCAGCAGGTGCCACTCTTTGTTCAGGGAATAACGAGCAGGGGTGCGCGCCAGGTTGGCGAGCACCTTGGCTCCATGGGTGCCTGGGGCGGGAGAGCCCAGGCAGGCCCCCTGGAGCCTAGCAGAGACGTTGGCCCCTCCAAGGCCGCAACGCGCACAAACCACCATCCATGTTCTCCCCTCCTCCTCCTCCCCCTCCTCCTCCTCCTCCTCATCCTCCTCCTCTTCGAGAGTCGAAAATCGAGGAATGAGCTTGTGGAGCGTGTTCGGCCCGCTCGGCGGCCTCCGCGAGCCTGCAGGAGACCCAGGGGGAGATACCATGCTCTCCTTACCCCTCCTCACCACCACCACCGACACCGTCATCCTCGTCCACATCCTACACCTCCTCCTCATCCTCCAACTCATCGTCGGCGTCGTCACCATCATCACTACCATCATCATCATCATCATCATCATCATCATCATCATCATCATCATCATCATCATCATCATCATCATCATCATCATCATCATCAGCATCATCATCATCATCACCATCGTCATGATCATCGTGGTCACCCTCATCACCACCCTCAGCTTCGTAATACAACGCATCATCGTCATCATCATCATCAACAACATCATCATCATCCTCATCATCATCATCATCAACATCATCATCAGCAGCAGCATCATCATCATCAGCATCATCATCATCATCCCCATCCTGATCCTCCTCATCATCCTCATCCTCCTCCTCATCATCACCGTCATCATCAGCATCATCGTCATCGTCATCATCATCATGAGCAGCATCACCATCATCACCATCAGCATCATGATCACAATCAACATCATCAGCAGCATCGACATCATCATCAGCATCATCAGCATCATCATCGTCGTCATCATCAGCATCATCATGATCATAATCGGCAGCAGCATCATCGTCGCCGTCGCCTTCAACAGTATCATCATCAGCAGCATCATCACCATCAGCAGCATCGACATCATCATCATCATCATCATCATCATCATCAGCATCATCATCATCAGCAGCACCATCAGCATCATCAGCAGCATCGTCGTCGTGATGATCTGCATGCCCATAGGCACCATCAGTCACCATCATCACTGCAAATGCCATCAGCACCATCAGCATCAACAACATCATGATCAGTAGCATCATGTTCATCATCCTCCTCATCATCATCACCGTCATCATCATCAGCATCATCACCATCCTCATCATAGTCATAATCGTCATGATCATCACCGGCATCATTATCATCACCATCGTCATCATCACAATCGCCATCGCCGTCGTCATAATCACCACAACCATCGCCATCGTCATCGCCACCATAATCACCACCACAATCATCAACATCCCATCACCACCACCATCATCATTATCATCATCACCATCATCAGCATCATCAACATCAGTATCACATCATCGAGCAAGATTCGGGGAGGAGCTGGACAACGAGGACCAGCAGGATGAGGACCAGGACTACAGAGCAGAGCACGCGCGAGGCTCGAGGACCTCGCGCGGCTACGGGCGGCCTCCCAGCAGCGGCCTCGCGCCCGCGCGCTCGGTGCCGCGCGCGCTCCGCGCGCTCCCCGGATCCACGCCATACAGCTCGAGCTTGCCACCACGTGCCACACCAGATGCTCCCCAGGGGCCGGCCCAGGTGCGCGCCTCCAGGTGCCACCCCGTGCACGAGATCCTGGCCGATGGCCGGCGAGAGGAGCGGCGCCACTCTTCCCCTTCCTGTCCTCGTGGTCCTCCCCCCCCCGTGAACATCAGTGCCCGTGCCT